GAGGAAGGCTCAGAATCTCATACCCCTACTGTGAGTATATCTCCAATGACCAAAATTGTCCCAGTAGGCCTCCTCTAGGTTCTACCTCCTCTCACGAGTACAATCCTATAGCTCCAGCTTTCAGTGTGAGGGACTCCTAAAGCTGCCAGTACCCAAGCTGCAGCATTTTGTCCATACTTACTCCCAGCACAAGTTAAGAGGAAAATTAATGAACCACCTCCCCGGAGAAGGTGAATCACTTCATTTAAGACTGTGTTGCCTAAGAACCATAATCAGCTTATACAGTGACTGAGGAGGTTACTGTATCCCATGTTAAGGAATTTGCACTTGTTCTAAAGAGTAATGTCATTAAAGTAGTTAATGCAGAGCAAAAGCTCAGTCAACTATGAACTTTTAGGTTATCTTGCTGACTGAGGGGCCACTGTGTTAAAAGGGAAATCGGGATGTGCTTAGAGAAACATCTTCTTAGTGGAATTTAATGGAGATGGGGTTGGAGGGAAGGGGATGTCAAAGGGTGACTTCTGGGATTTTTAACCCAGCAAGCTGGGGTCTATGCTTTCAGCACTTCCTGAGCAGGATGGATTTGGAGGTGGGCGTACTCAGTGGCCTTGCTTATTCAGGTCAACAGTGTTAGTGGCTAAATATTAATGCCTAGTATGTCTAACATTAATATGTAACACTGATTTATTAGTCAGATACTTAAGTTTGAGCTCAGAGAGAGATCAAGACTTTGAATGTAGTTTCGGTAATTATCAATCCAGGGGAGTGTTGAGATGGGGGAAGGAGAGGAGCGGCAGGTTACTGAGGACAGGCTCTTGAAGAGACATAACACTGAGGAGGGAGACCCCATGAACACTGAGGAGAAAGGATGCCAGTGTGATATCAGAAAGAAGGAAGGAAACAATCCTAAAAGATTTGCACAGCACCACTATGAACAGCCACAGCGGGAACTGAAGAGGGCCTATTTGGTGGCAGAACATTTGGGCACTTGTCTCCCTCACTCCACCAACGTTCAGTCGAGCATGTGAATCAGAGCACTGGTTGTTGATGGCTGAGCCACAACACATGAAAGGATAGAAGCAGTTTATGCCATCAACACTTTCCAAATATAAATGGGAAAGGGGGTGAGGCTAGGCGGTGGTGGTGCATATTTCTAAAAAAAAACCTTATCTCAAAAAAACAAAACAAAAACAAACAGAAAAGAAAGAGAAAAGAGGAAGGAAGGAAGGAAGGAAGGGAGGGAGGGAGGGAGGGAGGGAGGGAGGGAGGGAGGGAGGGAGGGAGAAAGAGAAAGAAAGAAAGAGAGAGAGAAAGAGAGAGAGAGAGAGAAAGAGAGAAAGAAAGAGAGAGAGAATATATGAGAAAAAGGTTAAAGATTCAAGGTTGTAGCCTATGAAAGAGAGAGGGGCTTGAGCAGTGTGACAAACTCTTCTGATTTCTACCCAGCAGTCAGTTCCCTCTTCAGCTACCCACCCCACCCATTGCTAAACAAGGCTCATTAGATCCCAGTACTAGGACAGGAGTTGTGACTGAACCAAAATTGTCTCCCTCCAGCCAATTAGAAGCTTGACTTTGCTTGCTGCAGGTTTTCTGGTCTTCTATGATAGACACTATTGCTATTCAGCAGCTACCACTGCCCCTTCTACCCCAAAAGAAGAGTACAGATTTCTGCTTCTCTGAAGTTGAACATTTGTCTTATCCACAGAAATGTAAGCAGGCATGATGGCAGCAGGTTTCAGCATGCTTAACCTGGTTTGACTTAATCTGTGGCCATCTGCCACAATAATAAAGAGTGAGAACACTCTCAGGAGCCATTGTTATCCAAACCAAAGCCTTGATAGAGCAGAAGTAAACCCGGAGCTTCCCCCTGCCCAGAACCCACCGACCCAAGGAAGGAAAATACATGTTGGTTTAACTTCCTGAGATTTGAATGTTATTTATACAATGTTACCATAGCAATAAACAACTAGTGGAAATAAAATCACCCTCTTAGCAAAACTAGCCTCAAGTACTTGGCAGCAAATTATGACCTAACAGGATTTACTAATGCCAACAACTTATGTTATCATAGTATTTAGTTTTGTTTGACTTGGCACTCAAAACTCATTCTAAAATTGAGGTGGAGACAGAAGGTTTCATGTTGAATTAATACCACTTTTATTGGTGGTTTGGGGAAATAGTCAATGCTAGAGTACCCTCTCAAGACGGGTACAGTTCTTCTCATCTGTAGCACTGAAAAAGAAAGAAGGTAGTGTAAAGCAAGAAGCAAGAGCACCAAGCAACAAGCAAGTACCGAGCAAGCACCAAGCAAGCACCAAGTAAGCATCAAGAAGTGTTGCAAAGGTGAGCCATGTGTGAGCCAAAGTTTGAGAAATAATTAAGTCAATATAGGTCAGGATAATTGATGAGGAAAAGGGAAAGAGCCAACAGGTCCGATAGGGCAGGGCATATCACCTTACCTTAAAGGAAGCAGATGGGGCCCTTTGGGAAAGTCACTCACTTTCAGAGCTGAATGTAATGAGTCTCACTGGTTTTTTACCACGAAGGGTCTGCTCCTCACTTGGCCCCTCTGTTTCCTCGTCTGTGAAAAGCAAGTGTCACGATTCCCGCACAGGTTCAGGTAAGCAAGTGGAAGGGAGTAAATGTCTGAGAGAGATCCATACAGGGGAAAGTCAAGGGAGAGCATGAAGCTTCCTCACTTGTCCAGGGGTAGTCAGCTCCAGCGTGGCCAATAGGTTGTGTGTACTATGGTCAGAAAATAACTGCTTGCTTTATTTGCTCTGCCCACTACAAGAGCCTGTCTGCTGCAAAGGAGAGCTGGAGGGGAAGCCTGGACATGAGAGCTATGAGCAGGAGAGAAGGAAGCTTTGTAGATACTAAGATCCAGTCTTTCTGTTTACATCCTACCAACTTTTTGCATCTTCTAACTCCATAAAGGAGCTGTGTGCTGACAAAGAGGGAGGTCCTAAAATAAGACAACTGATGCACTCTGGGACTGTAGGTTATGTGAAGAAGTAACCAATCCATGGTCAGCTTGACAGGTCTAGACTTCCAGTGAGCCAAGCAATGGAACCCATATGGGAGCGCAATACCTAAAATCTGACCACGGAAGCGCTCCCAGAAGACAGAGCACTATTCTCAAAGCAGTGTAGTTGTTCTGTCATTTATTTACCTTTGCAAAAATATTATAATGCAGAATGTTCCAGAAGCTAAAGTAATGTCTTAAGCCATTACCCGCTGTCAGCTCTCTCCACTTAAAATCAGTATGTCAATGTTTGGTGCCTCTTTCTGAAGGTATCAACAGTGAGGTGAATCTGGAGGGGTCCAGTTGGTGGAACATTGATCAACAGCTAGACTGACCACCAACTGGGAGGCACTGGAGTCTTCTCTTTTATTTATTTATTCAGCTGCCAAGAAGTGATTTTTAGCTCTGGACATCATTCTGTGCCTTGAGGGGACTGGTTAACAAGTAAGGTTGGCAGTATGGCTCAGCCCTTAAAAGTGCTTACTGATAAGCCTAAGGGCAATTCCCAGAACCCGTATAAAATCTGCTTGGGTTATACAAATGTGATTCCAGCACTCTTGTTAAAAGATGAGAAAGAGGATAGCTCTGGAACTCACCAGCCAGCTAGCCTGAAGTATGTTACTTGACAGAAACAGAAGAGAACCTGCCTGAATGAGGTGGAAATCGAGAACCAGGCCTGGAGAGTTATCCTATAACACTCACATCCACAGGCACATGGTGACATGCATCTAAACATGGGGGAGGACATTAATAACAAATTAAAACTTTTACGTGAAATAAAGCTTCTTTTTCCCCCATCAAATTTAAACTATAGGCATTAGAGGTACAGGGAAACAGACAATAGAACATTAAGGAAGAATTAATAAACAGTGGCATCTTACTGTGTTTCAAGGGATGATTTATGATAGTGACTTTAGTTTCTCACCTTAGCAAACTGGTAAGGTGAACCAAACCATGCCTTTGGGTAGGTTTCTTGTCTCTGACACTAAAAACAAGTTCTACTATCATCCTTACCCTTTTGGGGGGAAACTGAGGAGGCCACTGATGCTATGATGGGTCACTGAGAAACACAGAAATGGATTCCATTCCCTGACATGTTTGTCCTGGTCAACCTGAGGGCATCTTTACCCAGCATGAATGATGTCTTAACCAAGGAGAGAAATCTAAACACAGATGCAGGCATATTCAAGAAAATATCATGTGGACATGAAGATGAACATCCATCAGCTGAGAGGGTCCTGGAACTGAGTCTAACCTCACAGCCTCAGAAGGAATCACCGTGCCTATACCTGCTTCATGTGGCTAACCTTCAGAACTGTTAGACAATACATCCTGTGGTTTAAGCCTGTAAGTCTGTGTCTTATTGTTAAAGCCCACTTAAACCAGGATATGAGGGCTGAGAGAGCAACCAAGGACACTAAGAGTGGAATATAGAATCCAGAATTTTCAACAATGGCCACCCTACATCTGTAAGTCATTGAGAGGTTCGGGTTTAGTTATATTTAGTGTTGGGTTTACTTTGAAACTTTTCAGTGTGGTTGAAGTATAACTGATAAATTTATATGCTGTATATGTGAAGGGTATATACAATATATTTTAATACAGATATATACTGGGGACTACTACAATCAAGCTAATTAGCATATACATCACTTTACATAGACTCTGTGTGTGTGTGTGTGTGTGTGTGTGTGTGTGTACACTTCAGATCTATTCTCTTTTCTCTTGTTGGGCTAAACTGAATGCAAATATGTGAATTTATTTCTAAGATATCCATTCTCTTCCACTCATGTGTGCTTCTATTATGAAGTCTGCTCACGTTTGTTTAATCACTAAAGTTCTGCAGAATTGAAGTTCATCACTACAATGATTCTAGCCTTCTTCTTTTAGCTCAAAGTCACTTTAGGTAGTCAGGGTATTGAATCTTCAGATCACTGTATATACTATGAAATCATTAACAATAATACTTTCCAGATCTATAACCCTGGGATATATTTTTATTTATCTGTCTTCTGTTTTTTTTTTCCAATCGATATTTTATTGTGTACAGTACACAGGTCTGCTACCTCTGTAGTTAAATTGATTTTCAAGTATTTTATTTTACTCTTAAACTACTATGAATGGAGTTATTTTCCTTGCTTTTTTTTTCTTTTTTTCCTGTTTGGTTTATTTAGGTAATTTTGTTGGTTTTTATAGTTTCTAAGTTTGTACTCTGTAAATTCATCAAATTAGTAGTTCTCGATGTGTGGTGGGTGAGTCTTCACCACTTTCTATGGAAATCCCATCATTTCCAGTGTTCATTTTCCCATCGTTTCTTATTTGGGGTCTCTGTTCTGTTGGCTGGTTTTGGCTAGGACGTCATCCATCACTACATTGACTAGAGACATGAAAGCATCCATATATTCTTTTGTTCATTACCCTCATGCATTTTATTTTCTGCTATACCTTCCAGTTATCAGGATTGTGGACCATAATTTTATTGTGAATACATTAAAATCATGGCACAATGACAGCCTATTGGCAGAAGTTATCTACATCATTTTTCCAAATTATGTATAAATTCTAACTCAATCCATAAATTAATTTCTGCACAAATCAAATTACAATGTCATACTTTACAATTTGTGCCTGTGATTATTTCTGGAAAAATGTCTTTATTTCATTTAATGATAAATATGTTTACTTTCATCTCAAATTCCTTTACTTTTCCTCTTAAGTGTGTTCCCTTCCACCTCACTGAGCTTTTGTAATATGAGCATTTTGAATTCTCCTTCCTATAACTCATGGGTTTCTAATTTCTGTGGTAAGCTGCAACAGCCTTGTTATTTTTCTTTACTGGTGTTCAGTTTACCAGATTCCCTTTTATTCAATACACCCTTGTGTTGGTCCATATGTTTGGAAGAGGAAAAAACACCCCTTCCATTCCTTAGGAAGTGTTTTTAGCCCTGTAAGGTCTTCTCTTAGATCTCTGAGCTGGTGAGGTTGCCTTGAAATCCCAGTCAGATGTTCTCAGAACCAGCAGGACTGCTGCTGAAACTGTGTTGAGTCTTGGCTCCAACAGCACCAATGAGATCTGAGGCCAAGAGAGCCTGTAATCATGCTGTAATCAAGCTGCAGGGTTGCTTCAGGATCAAAGACAGAGTCCAAGTCTTTAAGCCCATCTCCGATGCATACGTCCTGGAGTTGAGTCTGCTGTCAACCTGCATCTGAGAGAAAATGAAGCCAAGATTTAGGGCTATTCCAGGATCCTCTGAGGAACTGAGGTTGGCAAGCCTACCCTAAAGAATAAGCTGGGTATGTTTTCTGCTTGGCCCTGGTATGACAGAATTGCTCTCAGACTACAGATTAAGGCTTGAGATCTGGGCTCTTTGAGTCTCCTTTGTGACTGAAGTTGGTAAATGTACACCAGGAGATCTATCCAGGCAGGCCTGCGCTGTTTTGAGCAGGAAGGGTTACTATTCGAATAGAAACATGCTTTGGGGCCTTTCTGAAACTACAGTAGTACCAGGGTTGGCAAACATGCCCTAGAGACCAACATGTACACACTTTCTTCTGTGTCTATGTGCAGTAACAACTTATGTCACCGTATGGGTGAGATGAGCTAGGCTGAGATCGAGTGTCATTTCAAGATCTGCAATGACGACTAGGTGAGGCAGACCTGTTTCCTAATGTGCTAATGTATATGAACTCATTGCTGGTTCCCTGGCAAAGGTTTTGGCATTAAAACCAAAGTCACAGAAGGCTTCAGCCAAGGCTATAGGGGCATGGAGTCATTTCTAGGTCTGGAACCTGAACCTGCCAAGAAAAAAAAAATGTGTTCACTGAAACCACCTTTCTAGAACTCAGAGCTTCTGGGTGTCAAAATCTTCCACTGGAGTGCTTTTGTGTGCAGATTACCTGTGGGGACATGAATGAGGCCTACCTAATTAATTACCTTGCTGAGGTCTAGCCTTCTGACTCTGGTAATACTCGAGGGTGACAGGAACCACTGTCTCCTTGTGTTGTCTTCCTCTGTCTATGTTCACAACTTTTTCTCTATTTTCAAAATATTTATTGTATCCCTTACTTCTCTCTCTCTCTTCTTCTCTCTTCCTTCTTTCCTCTCCCATTTTCTCTCCTCACTTCCTCTCCCCCTTTCTCCACAAGTGTTTTGCAGATGCCCTTAGAAGCCAGAAGAGGGCAGAAGGCTTCACATTCCTGGCAGCTGGGGTTAGAGGTAGTCTAAGGCACTTGGCATTCAAACTAGGAACCAAAATCTGGTCTCTGCATAGGTGGTGCACATTCATAGCTGCCACACTATCTCTCCAGGCCCCATCTCTGTTTGTCATTAGAAGAAATACAGTTATATGCCCAAGCGGTTTTCTTTTTCTATTTCACCTGTTTCTACTTTTTTCTGTTTTTCTAAAAGTCCAAAGACATATGTTTTTCACCAAAATCTGAACTGGTTTGGGCTGTTCTTCTGGCACTTCACTGATTCCAAGGACTGCTGATGTTTCACTTGCAGTTTCCAAGTTTTCTCTATTATTCTGAGTGATGATAGCTTTTGATCCAATTTCAGGTTCACTGAGTTTCTTTGACCATCTTGAATCTACCAGGAAGTCTAATGAATTAATTTTTAACTTTATCAACAAGATTGTTCAGTTAATGATTCCCCATTAAAAATTCTATTTCTCTACTAAAAGTTATGTTTCTCTTTAGCATGCTTGTCTTCAGTTCTTAAACAGCTTTATAACATTTATTAAAATTATTATCTACTAATCCCAATTTGGATCATCAGTTTTACCCATTGATGTCCTGTTTTTTTTGTTTGTTTGGTTGGTTTGTTTGTTTTGATTTGTTTTTAGCATTTTTTTTTCTTTTTTTGTTTTATTTTTGTTTTGGAGAATGAATCATGTTGCCCTTTTTTTAAGTTATTTTTTTCATTTACATCATTTCCACCATTCCTTCTTCCCCCTCTGACTCCTCTCATACCTCCCATCCCCTCTCAAATTCATGACCCCCCTCCCCTTTAACCACTGTTACACACACAGTCCAACACGGGCCCATTTAGTGTCGCCTACTATAAGTGTTTAGGGATAAGCATCTGGGATTGGGTAATCTGTCAAGAGACTCATCTCTAACTCTCCCTCCTTCAGCAGCCATTACTTGTCTAGAGCAGTGGTTCTCAACCTTCCTAATGCTGCAACCCTTTAATACAGTTCCTTATGTGGTGGTGGTCCTGAGCTATAAAATTATTTTTGTTGCTACTTCATAAGCATAATTTTGCTACTGCAATAAATCATAATGAAAATATTTGTGTTTTCTGATGGTCTTAGAGGACCCCTGTGAAAAGGTTGTCTGACCTCCAAAGGGGTAACAACCCACAGGTTGAGAACCATTGGATTACATAGCTCCTTATGTAGGAATAGGATCTTGTAAAAATTTGTCTCATCCATGCTGGCATATCAACAGATGTTTCCATTATTCAGGTCTTATTTAGGCAACCTTTGTGATATCGTGGATGTGATTTTCCTGTCATATATAGAAGACCTCATCTCACAGCAGACATCTTGGGCCTCTGGCTCTAAGAATTTTTCTATCCCATCTCCAGCAATGTTCCTGAGCCTTGGGTGTAGCAACAGTGCTGCATATGTATCAGCTGGGGCTGGACTGCCCAGTCAGCTTGACCTCTGCATTTTGATCAGTTATGGAATTCTGGAATGGTCTCCATCTGCTTCACATAGGCGTTTCTTTGATGAAGAGAAAGAATAACTTATGTTTGGGTGATAAGTACTTAGAATACAGTTAGAAGTTACACTGGTTTAAGAAAGTGGCAGATGTAGTTTCTGCTCTAAGGTCTAAGTACTTCATCACTCACAGGTAGTTGGCTAGGTTTACAGTAGTAGGCACAAATTTATTCCTACTAAGTTGGCCTAAAGTCCAACTAGACAGCTGTTGGTTGCTCCCAAGATATATAAGTGCCACTATTGAACCTTTGGGAGCATCTTGCTATGCTAGTTATTGTGGTGTGAAGGCTTTACAGCAGGGTAGGATTATTGAATGTTTTCCTTCCTTGGCAGTTTGCATAGATTCAGATATTAGGAGAGGTAGTCCTCAGGGAAAAGTCTTTCAGGTGAGTTCCAACTCAATTCCTCCAAATTTTGTGTCTGAAACATGTGGTATCTTCAGCAACAGAGTCTTATTTTCAAGTTCTGGTGGGGTGGTGCCAATCAAGGGCAATGCCACTAGCCTACATTATTTGGAGGGTCTCTTTGATTCCCCTGACCAACAACTCTGAAATAATCTGTAGTATCTGAGTGTATCTGTCTACAGTGTCTGTCTATGGGGTGGCAGATAGAATCCAGGACCTTGCACTTGCTGGGAAAACACTCTAGTACACAGTTGCCTCAAGTGATTTTGGATTTTGTGCTGAACCTTGTCATTAATAGTGAAGATTTTAGGCTTTATTTTGTTCTTTTGAGCTAATCTCTCTCTCTCTCTTTCTCTTTCTCTCTCTCTCTCTCTCTCTCTCTCTCTCTCTCTCTCTCTGGTTTAAACAGGCAAACTTGTAGTTCAAAAACAATTCAATTCCTTCTGTGTTTAGTAACTTAAAATTATATTCCATTCCTTCAGCTCAAAGCTACATGGAGTCTGTGTAGGTCAGGAATGAACTAGAAATTTGTGCAAAACTTATTCACAGAAGTTGAGTTCTCTTTTTCTCTTCCATTCTGGTTTTTCTCTGTGCAGTGAGACATCTGCTAAATGTTGTCTTTCCTTCCACATAAAAATTACTCTAATTTCGTTTTTGCTTGAGTTACTCACTAGTATCTTCTGATATTAAAAGAAAACAGTTTATGGATGATTAATCATTGATCTCCGTTAGAATGTTGATTTGCTTGTGTGTTTGCTTGTTTTTTTTTTAGACAGGCTATGGTGGTTTGAATGAAAATGGCCCCCGTAGACTCACAGGGAGTGGCATTATTGGAGGTGTGGCCTTGTTGGAGGAAGTGTGGCACTTTGAAGTTTCAGTTGCTCAAGCTAGGCCCAGTTTCTCTGTCTCTTCCTGCTGCCTGCTCATCTGCATGTAGAACTCCCAGCTACCTCTCCAGCATCATGTCTGCCAGTGTGCCATCATGCTTCCCACTGTGATGACAATGACTAAAATCTCTGAACTGTAAGCCAGCCCCAATTAAGTGCTTTCCTTTATGAAAGTTCCTATGTTCATGACATTTCTTCACATCAATAAAACCCTAACTAACACAGGGTCTCACTATGTAGTCCTTGATTGCCCAGAGCTTACTAGGTAGACCAGGTTGGCCCTTAACTCATGAAGATTTTCCTTTCTCTGCCTGCTCAGTGCTGAAATTGAAGATATCCACAACCACATCTGGCCCAAGAATGCTGATCTTACAGAAACCATTCCATTACTATAGTCTTACTCACATTAATTGTTATGCTATTAATTGTTTAATGAAAATATTCCAAACTTTTGGCATGTATTATCTATGTATACATTTGAATTAGGTTAAAAAGTAACTCCCCAGATGCTATTGTATAATAAAAGGTCTTAGGGGTATTCAGAGTAATATGAGAGGATACTTTGGATTTAAGTTAGAGTACAAGCTCCAGTCTGAGCCTTGTTCTGCCGCAGACCATTGTTAAGGGCTGGAACAAGATATATTGACAATAGAAATAAAGATAGAAGATTTTCAAAGAGCTGTGTATTCCTCTAGTTGGAGCTATTCCCAGGATGAATGTGTGACAGTGAGCACAACGACTAACAACTAAGAACTTATACCCAGGTAAAGTAGGTTCAAATGCCTTTTCTGTCATTTCCTGTCTGTATTGAGCTTGGTTATCGGGCTGAAATTCTTAGTGTTAACATCCACATTAGTAAAATGTGGTGATAATAGGAACTTCCACGTAGTCTTTTATGATGTGACTTGGCTTATGTACAAGGAATGGACTATATCTAAGTCAATAGTATTTGGTCAATGTGGTGGTTTGAATGAGAATGGCTCCTGTCTCAGAGTTTTACTGCTGTAAACAGACACCATGACCAAGGCAACTCTTACAAGGACAACATTTAATTAGGGCTGGCTTACAGGTTCAGAGGTTCAGTCAGTTATCATCAAGGTGGGAACATGGCAGCATCCAGGCAGGCATGGCAGAGGAGGAGCTGAGAGTTCAACATCTTGTTCCAAAGACAAACAGGAGAAGACTGGCT